GTTGTGATAGTGGAGATTCTCCTCGTGAGTGAGGAGAGGATACGTAGGTCGAGAGTAACCGAACTCTGTGATCATATTGTGTGTGCATTGGCGTATTATTTGTGCTCATAGTTCATTGCTTTTTATATCGTCATTATCTCATATTTATATCACCCTTATTTTAATTACATATCCTTGCATATAATTTGTATATTATAATTGCTAGGATAATTGTTAATAAGTTTTAATTTAACATTAATATCGGATTAGATTAACATATACCCTATTCACACCCCCCCTAGGGTAATTTTATTTGGTATCAGAGCAATTTCATGATAGAGAAGGGGATGGTTTTGGATGGGCTTAGTTGTAATTGCTTGCCACTGGGAACCATACTGGCAACCACATTCACATCACGTGATGCGTCACGTAAAAAATTTCACCAGAAATTTAGGTCCGGCCAAATTTGAGGCTTATTTGTTGCTGGAAAAAAATATATACCAATATGTCGCCAAAGTAAAAAAATAATATAGCAATATGTGTTTGTTGGAAATTCAAAGAAGACAATTAAAAATATGATTTATTGTATTATCTCTCTAACTAGCTTAGAAAAAGAATGAATAAAATTCTCTCGATACAATTTCTCTCTAACTGATTTAGAAAACAAGAAATTACAATCTTCTGGTATCGAATTCCTGATTTACAAAAGAGAAGAAGATCGACGGAGATCCTCCCCTTTGTTTAAGTCTGGGTTCTTCATGGTAGCGATGAGATGCCTCCCTCGACGTTCATATCGAGTTTGCTTCTCGTTGATGATCTGACCACCTCGCTTTGTGGAACGTGGTTGATTCCTCTTGATTGACGTTGAGGAGAACTTACGAGACAAGTTTGAAACTCTGAACGAGTTTAGAAGAACTTGCAGAGCAAGTTTTTAACTCTGATTGAGTTGAGAAGAACTCTTAGAAAGAGTTCAAAAATCCAAGCCGAGTAATCTCAAAGGCTTCAATAAAAGCCTTCTGAGATGATCCAAGAGTTCCTCCAAGTTGTTGATCTCCAAAGCTCTAGATCGAAGATCCCAAAAATCCAGTCAAAGATCTCTTCTTTGCTGCCAATCCGAAGGACCCGAACTAAGCTGATTCCCCAGCTATTTATAGAGGATTAAGAGGTGTAACCGCCCCCTTAATTCTCTCCATAATGGTGTTGAATAAGGTGTAACTGTCCCCTTAATCCGCTTCTAAGTAGGGTGGAAATCCCTCAAATCATGGGGAGAAAACGATTTTTGGAACCGTTCAGTTCATGCTTTGAACAAGTCAAACGCTGAAAATAGTATTCTTGGCCCGAACTCTGCGTTTTAGACTTGAAATGCAGGGTTGGGCCTGTTTTAGACTAAAAACATCGTGTTCGCACATCGTTATAAATCTGAAATGCAGAGTTGGGACGCAAAGATGAACTCTGCGTTTTGAGTCCAAGAACTCTGCGTTTTCAACTGGAACGCTGGGGATGACCTCTGCGTTTTGACTCTGGAACACAGGGATGAACTATGCATTTTGAATCTGGAACGCGGGCACGAGCCATGTGTTTTGACTCTGGAACACAGAGACGAGCCTCAAGCGAGCTTAGCGAGCTTCAGGCTAAGTCCCGTGTTCAGGCGAAGTCCAGTCTTGCAAACGAACTTCAGAACATAACTTGGGTTTGAGAGATATTTGTGTTTTGATTTGAAGAGACCATCAGTTTGTAGTCTCTTTTGCTAAAACATTGCAAAGACCGTCACCTTATAATCTTCATCTTGGTTCCTTGAAAATATGAGAGTCGTCAGATTATAACTCCCGATACTGATTATAAAGGCTGTTGAACTAGAGCTTTCATCGGTTGTTGTGAAGTCGTCAGATTGTAACTTTTATCGATCTATGTGAAAGTCTTCAAATTATAGCATTCTGAAAATCGTCAAATTGTAACTTCCATCATCGGTGTTTGATGGGGATCAACTATCTGTAGTAATTGTTAGACAACCTACAATATGTCACCGAAAAAATATATATATACCAAACTGTCACTAAGGGTAAATAAAATATACCAATTTGGAATTTTTGCCCAAGTTTGTATGATTGATTTCTCTTTAGATAAACTGATGAAATAAACCTTGTAATGGCCCCTAGGTTGAGTGCCCACACAACGGTATTAATTATTTTTTAAAATCTATTTTAAATTTGTGCCCAATGGAATTTGAACGAATGTTATTTTTCAAAGTTGTGGTTAGGGTTGTGTTAGATATATTAGTATTTGGCTATCTACTTTCCTTTATTTTAGTTTCATATCTATTAGGATTCTAGAACCTCTCCTCTTACTCTTGTATTTAAGTTGTTCCATACAACAAATAAAGTAAGTCCCTTCTCTTCCCTAAAGCTCTATTCATAACATATAACATGGTATCAGAGTCATCCTCTTTATTCTAAAGAGATCACTTCCTTCTCCTCTGGTCTCGACGCCGCCGAGGGGTTTCCCCAAGCTTCCCCTCGGTGAC